AAGTGAGTTTTATACACCATAAATCGCCATTGAGAGACCTCCCTACGGCGTGGCTTGTCACAGACTCAATCAACATCCCTAACCACAACGCTTTGCCATTTCATCTCGTCTTCAGCATTTTCAGTAAAGTCAAAATTGCCTTCAGATTGGTAAACCTCGTCGAAAATATCCGTACTGGTATAACAAGAAGAAGAAGATGCCACCACTGGGTCTACCCAATTCCTCGCCAAAAAGCGTTCTTGAGTTTGCACAACCGCCATAAGTCAAGAGATTACTCACAAATCAAACCTGGGAGCGACAAATACACAGTCAAACGCCAAACACTTCAACTGATGCCAAGAAGGTAAACAAATCATCAAACCCCGAACCTTCACACCACCCAACTCCTACTCCCCGAACCACCAGCATCCCCTCACCGATAACTCAATCAAAAACAACTCAAACACAAAGAACTTACCAGAAGAGTCAGAGGTTTCTGAGGAGCCCGATGTATAAAAATCTGAATAGCTTAAAGAAGACGGCCACCACGCAGGTTGTACCTTATAAAGCCCCAAGTCTTCATAAATGGCATCCCACACGCCATACTTACAAGTCGAGCGTCCTCTGGGTGGTATCTACCTAATCGGTTGTCAGTGGATTCGTCATATTTACGGCGATGGAAAGACTCGAAAATTTTAGGAATATGGCCAGAAGACGTGCACAAGGCAACTGGAGATTCAACAGTTGGATGGATTATTTTTAAAGGACGATGGTGGTAATAAAATTCGAGTTGACAATTTTGAGGTTGGCGGTTAATAGAAGATAAGGGCCAAATAAGCCGCCCTACTCCAAAAGCTGAACGCCGCAAATCACGGAGGCGCAAACCTGCCCTGTGATCATAAGAATGATCAGAAAACCTAGTATGACTCCTCCGTGAAAGGCGAGGCCTAGTACCTTCTCCAGATCCACCAGATCGTCGCCTTCTAGATCCGGCAGATCGATGCCTACCAGATCTAGAAGCCCTCCCACCAGTTACGGCCTGACGCCTACCATGAAGACAGGAACCAGAAGCCTCGCCAGAATAGGGAACCACATGCCCGAAAGCCCTCTCTGGCAAAAGACTTTGTATATCCTTTTCGCTGAAACCTAGAAGCTCTGGTATTCTACTATGGGGTAACGACTCAAACCTAGGAATTAAAGAGCGGAAATAGGGGACACTACAACCTTCCCCACCACGACCAGCAAGGAAACCCCGCATAGTCGACCCCACTATACAGCCATCGCCCGTATCAAAAGCTTCATCGAACTCCTCCTCTTTAACATCCACCTCTAACTCAGGCAAGACCAAACCGGTCAAATCTTTCAACTCGACCATCACGAGAAAGAAGAGAAGAGAAGCAAAGCCAAAGAAAAGTAAAGAAATACCAAAGTTACAAGCTAGAAACACTATACCTGAGATAGCGAAGATTGCAGAAGAAGGAAGAATGGAAGAAAAGAAGACCAATGCGAGCACTCAGAAGAGAGAAAACCGGAAAGAAGGAGGCAAACACAAAGGGCCAGAAATTAGTGAAGAAGGTTTCGTGGAGGGAAAAACCCCCTTTAAATAGGACCAAAGGGATAAGGATGGCGTACACGTGTACATCCCACGACTCTAACCGTAGGATAACACAACTGTCAGATAATAAGCGGTTGTGATGAGGGATCCTATGGTAATTACAAGGGGACAAGACACCTTTCGCATAACATTAATGCGTCGCGCTTCGTGACGTTTGAGTCCCTGCAGTTAATTGCAATGATGGAGGCACCCATCATTACTGTCCCTCGAAAACTGAAAAGCCACATTTCCTGTCAGAGACAGGTGGACGGCCTAAGAAGTACTATGCGTTCAACACAAATCGCCAGCTAGAGAGTATCGCCTTAGAGCCAAACCTGCAAGAATCCAAAATGTTCACCAAGTGACTGGGCGACCCCTCATCCCGCCAATACTAGCCACTCAGATCGCCAGCTAGAGAGTATCGCCCAAGAACCAAACGTACAAGACTCCAAAATGTTCACCAAGAGACTGGGCGAACCCTCATCCCGCCAATATCTGCCACTCAGATCGCCAGCTAGAGAGTATCGACCAGGACCGTTTATCTTGGCACTAAGCTACGCTTGCTACCAAGCTGAAGGGCTTATGTTTCAAATAGCCCAACGACATAGTGGCCCAAGGGTCTAAGCCCAAAACCCTCATCCACGTCAGCCCTACCAACCTCCAACCTCACAACCCCCAATGTGATGATGCTCCCTAGGTGAGACACCAGAATGTCTCACCTAGGGATTATAACTCCCAAGGAGACCGCCCCAGATACCATAAGAGGTAACTGCCCTTTGTCATATGCTGAGATCGCCAGGAACAGGGGGTGCATCACTGCAACCATAGCAGCGCCTGCTGCCCTTAGCAGTGCCTGCCACCCTCAGCAGCGCCTACCACCCTCAGCAGCGTCTGCACCCTTAACAAAACCCAAGAAGAGTTGAACCTCTCCTCACGAACCCACACAAGATCAACATCACCTTCATCTATAAATACCCCTCTTGATACAGAGGAAATCTTATCTTATGTATTGATATTCTGCCCATTTACATTGAGTCACATATACACACTCCTGAATCCATTGTTAACTGCTTGCACCATACTTGGAACAGTGCCTCCTAGCTTGGTCTCTACCTATGCTAGAGGTATCATCCATACAGTGACTCCATCCCCAACGGGAACATAGTGGGCTTATAGATCCCAACGGTACATATCCCAAACGGGGGTTAAACTTTTGGTATAATAGCTAGTTCTTGATATCCAATAAAATATTTTGGGGGAAATGTGGAAATTCTAAATATATTCATCAATGGAAAAAGTTATATTTACAAACCTTTTTTTCCAAACTTACAAATTACACTATGTCTGACCAGTCAGACTTTACTCAAGAGTGTATTACCAGTCAAATATATGTAGTTTGTAAAAGTTTGTAAATGAAAAATTTGTAAATCATCAATAATGCATGCAATAATACCGAGTAAATTTTAATTTCCCCCTACCTATCATTTGCACTCCTATTGGGCTGAGCTACTTTGTTTCGGAGGGGGCAACCCAACCCCAATTTTTTTTTTCTTTTGGTAAAGATCTTTTCTTACATCGCCTCCTCAATTAGGGGTGTGCATGGGTCATATTTTTGTGCCGACTCGATCCAACTTGGTTTTTATAGGTAAGGTATTTTGACCCGACCCGCTTTAATTTGATCCAAGTCAGGTCATGTTCTGACGAAAATTTCGACGAAAATTGTTTTGATGGAAATGTTTTATTCGAAACTTATGACGAAATTTAGTTTCTCTAAAGAATTTTGATAGAATATTTTTTCCGTCAAAATTTTTTATCAAAATATTTTTTGTCAAAAAATTTTACGAAAATTTTTGACAGAAATGTGTTCCGTTGAAAATTTTGATGAAAATATTTTTTATCAAAAAACTTGACGAAAATATTTTGTCAAAAAATTTCGATGGAAATGTGTTTCGCTAAAAGTTTCGACGAAAATTTTTTTTTGTCCAAAAGGTTAACGAAAATATTTTCATCGAAAACCTTCGCCGAAATTTGAATTCTGTAAAGAATTTTGATGAAATTTTTTTAGTCAAAATTTTTTTATGGAAATGTGTTTCGTCTAAATTTTTGATGAATATGTTTTTTTGTGAAATATTTTGACGAAATTTAGATTATGGAAAAAAATTTGACAAAAATTTTTCTGTCAATTTTTTTTACAAAAATGTTTTTAGTCACAAATTTTGATGAAAATATTTTTCGTCAAAAATTATTGCGAAAAATTTTGATGGAAATATTTTTCGTAAAAAATTTTGACAAAATTGTTTTACGTTAAAATTTTTCTTTTAATGTAATTGTGATTTTCTTTTTTTTCATATAATGAGTATGGGTCAAGTTTTGGGTCAATGGGTCATTATTAAAATAAGTCAGGTCTAAAATTGACCCAAATAAAAGTGGGTCAGTAATTAAACCCAGTTCAAAAAAAAGTAGGTATTTATAAGTCAAATCAAGGTCAGATCAAGAGCAGGACGAGGTGAACCAGTTTTTTTGCACACCTCTGTCCTCAATAATGGTCTTCCTTCCATTTGGGGCCCTTCCTTCTATTTGGGGCCCAAGTTAACTAAAATAATCTAATTCTGCCAACACTCTACTCTTGTTATTAACTAAATGCTGAGGTATAATTTCCTTCCTCTTCTCACAAATAACTTTTGAATTTGATGCAAATTTTCAACAATATTTTTTCAATCCATACTTGCATGTGCATCCCATTAGTTCCCTTGCAATATATGTCCATAGTCTTGCATATTTGTCTTGCCACAGTAACACCTATCAGCAGCATCAACTTACCTTTTCATTCATTCAATATGTTTAACAAAAAGCTGATTTACCACATGTTCATAAAGTTCTTTTATTATTTGCATCATGCACGATGAGAGAAACTCGAGATTGATGAATAAAGGACAACCAGTACACATTAAATAGACATAAAAGATATAACAGGATGGGACCATATAGTATCAATACACAATTTACGGGTTTGACATTTCCGATCCATATAAATTGAGCATAATAGCCAGAGTATTAATCTGATAATTAAACTAATGATAGTGAAGACAGTAACTCAGCAGTGGCAGAAAACACTTAGAAATAAAATAAGTGATAGGTTCATTATATGGTCTTCTGGGACAAAATAATCTTGTTATCATACTTTTTTGATACACTAAAGTAACCCCAGGATTTGTACCAGAAAGTATTGAACTTTTATCAATGCTTTCACATGGTGCAACCAAAGGTCCTACGTACAAGACTTGGTACTCTTGTTAGTTGGTACATTCCAGCATGATTTCCTAAGAAGCACCGTATACAGAGATTAATTTCCTTAAATAATAAACTATTAACATAAAATGTCAAGAGAGTTTTGGGTTTTATAGTTCATGATCATGGGATGCTAGAGCTACTTGGGCAATGTGGTGCAGTCTTCTTTGATTCTAGTTGTTGTGAGTGGAAAGAGATCAAGTGTCTTGAGAGGTCTAGTGCAACATAAAGATGCTTGATTAACATCCTCAAGTGTCAAACCATAGTTGCAGAGTGTCTTGTCTTTCTTCTCCACCAAACTTTGCTTGTTATACACATTCCATTTGCAGTTCATTGCCCTTTCTGAAGTGCTTGTAGCTCCTCCCTGAACATATGAAATGAACAAAAGTAGAAAAAAGAAAACATGCTTCAATTTTTCCCTGACTTCATAGCTCAAACTGAAATCATGCCTTTTGGAATGAAGTGGCATTATGTGCATTTACATCACTTACTTTAAACCATTATTTTAGGACCACTACTCAGGATGTTAAGTTAACAAACCCCATGCATCCAAGAGTTACAATATAGAGAAGAATAAGCAAAAAATAAGGGACAAGAAACAGAAAAGAAACATCTACATGCATGGTTGAAAAGGAAGATTACCTGAAAAAGCAAGCTAGGTGAGTTATAAAAGGAAAATTCTTGGCTAGTAGAAGCAGGAGGATAACCAAAGCTACCAACAAAATGGTTAGTGATATCCTGATTCAGTTGGCAATGATGAACTTGGAGTTGTTGCTGTAGCTGCAGTTGCTTGTTGAGTTTCCTCCTTAGCTTCTGTCTATCCCTAGCCTTATGGTTCTGAAACCAATAGAACACATTCTTTCCTTCTATTCTTCCATAGAAAGAAAGGTGTGTTGTTATTTGCTGAATTTGAGAAGCACTAGGAGTTCTAATCCCACTTCTGTACAGTTCCTCCAAGACCATGAGCTGTTCTGTAGTAGGACTCCATCTTGATGACCCTGCTGGGGACATTTCTCTCTTTAGATTGTGGGGTGAGTTCTTGAGACAAGAAGGGGATGAAATGGATGTATAAATAGAAGGGACAGAGAGAAAGATACAGTAAAGTAGAGAGGAAGAGACAAAAAGGAAAGAGATTGAGCAGGCATAAAAAGGGTGTGGTGAATTAGATAGGTAAAAAGTACTAGCCTCATGCTGATGTTCCTTTCGGAGGAGCATTCAAGTGAGGTTTCAGTTCATGACAGAGAGAGAGAAAGAGAGAATCTGAAATGAGATGAGTGAATGAAGAGAACTGATTGTGGGGTGTATGACTCATGATGACCTTATTATTAACTTTTCTTAACAGAATCAATCAGATACTCTCCAAATGTGTCTAATTCAGTACCAGATACCCTTAACTAGGACAAATAGCCCTTGCTCTCCCCTCATAATTATGTACCTCTAACTTGTTCCCACATCCCACAGTGTTGCTGTTGACAAAACATTTCAATCAAATTTAACTGTCTTATAAAAATAAAAGATTAATCTTCTACTCCTCTAATTTTTTTATATCATGACACATCCAATCACCTATATATTATTATTGTCTCCATAAATTCTATTTGATGTTTATATTACTAAACTATTTTGGAATTGGTTATCACAAGAGCAATACTATTTATGTAATCTTAAACTAATAATCAGTGACAATTGCCCGTGTTTTTATCATATTTGATCATCTAATGTAATAATAAGAAAAATATATATATATAAAGACACACAACAACAACAAAAATTAAAAAAGAAAATCATTTCTCATTAAATCCAAGGTAGGGATGAGGGCAATTGTCAACGGCGTAACCACATTGGAACCAACAAGTGCTTGGCACTGGCTGGTTTCCAAAATCAGAAGCTTTTTTTGATTTTCAGTGATTGTAAATGATTTGCTTCCTCCATAGTTACTGGTTTTGGCACTAACTTCCTCCATGGTTGGCTAATTTTTGGCACCAGCTTTCCAATTTTTTTAGCTTCACCACTGAAAATTGTTGTAGGCAACCTTACCTATATATAATTAAAAAAAGTCTGTTTTCCAAGACTCAAACCCCATATCCTTTCGGTCACAAAGAAATAGCTTTATTGTTGATCATTCTACCTATTATCCTCTGAGATCCAGGTGGGATGCAATTATACTAACAACTCTTGGATAATATTTTTCTTCCATCAAAGGGTTTTTTTTTTTTTATCAATCAACTCTCCTAAAATTTTAAGATAATAGTCATGAATGTATGAATAGTCCCTTCTCATGCAACAGCTTTTAGACATGACATTTGAATAATACATGTTCAAGGATCGAATTCTTAACTCACTTGATAGTAAAAACTCTAAACCATATCATAAAGTAACTCATTCAAAACCTTTTCAGTTAGGTAAAGACTTTTATATCATGTTTTGCATGTTCCTAATTGTAAACTTCACCAATTTAACTCACTTGAAAGACATGTACTAAAAGAATGCCATATATTAAATATTGGGATTTTATAAGTAAGTCCCCATTATTGCAAGCATAGTGGTGAAATATTTCCGTATGAAGACAATGTTATAGACAACGGTACCAAAGGTGATACTTGGCAAAATGGCAAGTCATTCCACAGTCACAGGTGGGGTCTCTGGCTATTTGCATGCTTCGCTGACATTTTTGAAAACGCAAGCATCGAACAGTTAGTGTCCATAAATGCATGTAGCAGAGTGTCCAATGCCTTGTCTTTTTTTTGGTCTCATTAAGGGGACTTGTCATCTCTATAAACATTCCTTATCATCTCAACCGTTCATTTTGTGATTCACTCACGTCATCAAATTCTAGATTAGTCAACCACAAATCTCCTACCATATATTTTATGGTCATCTCATCTTCCTTAGGCCCTCATGTTGTTACGTATTTCGTTACGTGCGACAGTGCTTCTTGTCCTTTGATGTTATGAAATGTCAATGTTTTTTTTTAATTTTTACTGAAGTTATACAGTATTATTGCTTTATAAACTTAAAAGATTTATAATAAATCAACGTGGGGCATTAAATATTGGATCAACTTTGAAAATTATTTTATACAAGTTTGTACTTGTCCATACGTATCTCATTTGTAGTATTTTTTTAAGTTTGCTCAATGACATTTGAAACATGGTTTTATGTACATTTTGATATTGCTTGTAGAGTAATTATTTAAATCAAACTGTTATATCAATAACTTAATATTATTTTTTAATACATTTATTCTGAGGCCTCTACTCATGAGCCCGTTTTGAAACTCAGATCGGTCATCGACTCGGTTGAAGTACTGGGTCATTGGTTCAACTGGATTTACTGTTCACATATTAAAAAAATATAAATATATTACTTATATTAAAAATTCACATAAGAAAACTACCAATGAGCTTCAAAAAATAAATTAGTTCTCAATGATAGCAAATATTATATACTTCTAGGCTTCTAGCTCTAGACCATATCCTAACATTGGATTAAAATTGCAATGTAAGCTAAATGCACCTTTTGTGCCTTAACATAACACAAATAAACTAAATCATGATAACAAATAGTAGACATGAAATATACACTAAGGAGAAAGTTTCTATCATTGAGATAAGACTATCAGTGTTTATTCTCACCTAACCTCTTTAGATCATTATAAGATACAACTAAATTACATAAACGAACTGCACTAATCAAAATACCTTCTTATTTTCACCTTACTTTTTAATCATATTTACCACAAAATATGAACATGATTTAATTCAAGAATTCATAACAACCAAAAAAAAATATTTAAGAAAAAGTTTTACAAAAAAGAGAGAGGGTTCACCGGTCTAAATGGAGAGAATGACATTAGGGTTAAAGGGGAGATCGGACCATCACTAATATATATATTTAATAACTTATAATCTGGTACGTCCATCATATACCAAATCAATGATTGAGATTAAATGCATCAGTAATTAATTAAGTGATATAATGTTTAATGGGTAATATTAAGAGTCTTAATATTATAATTATAATAAAATCCTTTTAATATTATAATTGACTCTTAATATTTCTAACATTCTCCCACTTGGCCCGATTAATCACAATATACATGTTCATCTCTAATGTTAGTCATCATAAAAGATAAATTGTCAAGTGTAAGTTATGGCAGTAGTGCGCTATTAATTCAGTACATTCCCTTCCATATACTACAACACCAACAATCTATCATATAAAATTCATAATATAGGAAACATAATGGTCCACATAATGTCTTACAAAAACTTCCTTGTCAAAATTCATAATGTGTATACAGCCATAAAATAACAAAGAAACATAATGTATGTCAGAAACACATAGGTGAGCTCAGAGTGTCACACATCAATAATCTTTAATACAACCAAGGCCCATACTTTCAACTTGTTCTTTAAATAGCTTTGGTTGTAACCCTTTCGTCAAAGGGTCTACCATCATTTGTTCAGTTCTGATGTGCGTAATTGACACTCTCTGATTCTGAACCTCCTTTTTAACGGAAAAACACTTTAACTCTATATGTTTGGATCCTTTAAAGAAGAATACTGCTGCAGATTATCACGGTAAATTTTCAGCGGCCTGCAAATGGTGTCGACAACCGCAAGCCTTGAAATAAAGTTCCGCAGCCATAATGCATGAGTTGTGGCTTCAAAACAAGCCACAAATTCTGCCTCCATAGTGGATAAAGCAACGATAGTCTGTTTTGAACTTTTCCATGATATGACTCCTTTGGCAAACATAAACAAGTAGCCAAAGGTTGACTTTCTACTATCAAGACATCCACCAAAATCTAAATTAGTATATCCAATTACTTCTAATTCATTGGACCTTTTGTACATGAGCATGTGATCCTTCGTGCCTTGAAGGTATCTTAAAACTTTCTTTACAACTTTCCAATGTACAGGTTTGAGTATACATAAAGCTGCCCACAACAGAGGCATATGGAATTGATTTCATCTATTTCTATTCAACATCATTCTTTGGACATTGCATGAGACTAAATTTATCACCTTTCTGTATAGGAACAACTCCAGGTGAGCATTTACTCATGTTAAATCTCTCTAGAATTTTCTCAATATATCCTTTTTGAGATAATCCCAACAATCTTTGTCATAGATCACTGAATATTTCTATTCCAATCACATAGGACGCATTTCCTATATCTTTCATTTCAAAATTCTTTGAGAGAAAATCTTTAGTCTCACGCAATATACTCAAATCATTTGCAGCAAGTAAGATGTCGTCAACATAAAGAACTAAGAAAACAAACTTACTCCCACTGATCTTCTGGTAAATACACCAATCAACAGTGTTTTTCTCAAATCCAAAAGATGTAATAATGGTATTGAACTTGATATACCATTGTCGGGATGCTTGCTCAAGTCCATATATTGACCTCTTGAGTTCACACACTAATTTTCTTTCACTTTTCATGGAAAAACCTTCAAGTTGATCCATATAAATTTCCCCCTCAAGGTCACCATTAAGAAAGGTTGTTTTCACATCCATTTGATGTAGATCTAAATCAAAATGAGCCACCAATGCCATAATTATCCTTAATGAATCTTTTTTCGAGATAGTGAAAATATCTCTTTATAATCAATGTCATCTTTCTAAGTATATCCCTTGGCAACAAGTCTAGCTTTATATCGTTCGATAATACCATTAGAGTCGTGTTTTGTCTTAAAGACCCACTTACAACCAACTATTTTGGAACCTTTAGATAATTCGACTAGATCCCAGACATCATTCTGATCCATGGATTTTAGCTCTTCTTGCATAGCTTTAATCCATTTATTAGATTCTATACTTTTTATGGCTTATGAAAATGAAACTGGATCTTTATTGATTCTAATGTCATAATCTGACTCCTGTAGGTAAACCACATAATCATTCGAAATAACTGGCCTACGTTCTCTTTGGGATCTTCTTAATTCTATTTCATGTGGTTCTTATGCATTAGCATTCTGCAAGTTAGCATCTGTTGGGAA